CCAGAAAATGGCGTTTCATTACATTCAATGCTGGTTTTATCTATTTTTGTCTGGGTCTGATTTTCTCTGGCTAATATTCTGAGACATTGCTCTCAGTCACGCGAGTTTACGGTAAACAATGTGAACACATGGCCCAGCACAGTACATTCTAGGTCTGTGGGGAAAAAAATATCTATTGCCTTTACTATGAAAGGTATTTAAATAAAAAAAAAATGTTGCTTAATAACAATTGTTTCAAAATATTTTATTAATAATAATTTAGAAATTTCTTCATTAAACGAAATCATTTTAAAAGAAAGTTAAGATTTAATATACGACTCTGGATGATCGAGGTCGGTGGCCTGGTCGCCATGTGAGGGGCTGCCGATGCCAAAACATACCAAATACTGACCGTCGGTAATATCGACCTCCAGACCGGTATACAAGGCTCCAGATACCAGTCTCCCAAACCAATCGTTATTACTGGCAGATTGGTATAAAAGAGGCCATTAAATTGAGTGGATACTATATTTCCATCTGTGGGTTCGGGGTCGGGGCTGGGATTTGATGGTCTTGAAACTCGGGTGGTCTCGAGGGTTTCCCCTTCCGGGGTACTGACGGAGGCATTCATGCCTGTTCCTCCAGCTGGGTTGTATGAGTCTGCCAGTGGGCTCCCTTCCTTAGTAATTTTCCGGCTGCCCCGGCTTTTTCTTGTGAGGCTGGGGCTTTGGGGGGACGGCTCGGCCCTGGGGTGTGCCGTGAAGGTTCCCGGGGTTGGGGAGAGGCTGACTTGGGGGGCTTTAGGCCCCATTGGACCCTGCTGGGGTTTTCTATCATCTGAGCGGGGCTTGCGGTTACGAGGAGTGGGGTTATTCCTCCCCTCCCCCTCTGCATACGAGTTGTTGGGCGTTGGCCCCTCCCTGGGTTCGGATCCTTGTCCCTTCGGGTCCGTTTGGTTCCGTTCTATCGGTGGGTACTTTTCTCCAATCCCCTTTTCTCTGGGACAGGACTTCTCCGTTGTGTCGGGGCCATGTTCCCCTATTATCGGGGTTCTGCATGACTTTTGGTCTCAGGTGCGACTTTGCCTTTATGAGCCTTCATTATTTTGTTTGCTTCTGTGAGATCTCAGGGATTCGGGAATGTCTTCGATTCTTCCCACATTATTGGAACGTCTGTCGTCTTCCGGTTAGGCTTACCTCCAGTCCTTTTTTTTGGACTCGGTCCTTTTCTGTGCTTCTTCTTGGTTTTCAATACTGTCTTATTCTTTTGTCATTATATTTTCTCTCCATGCTCTGTCTATGCACTGCTAATATTTTTGCAATACTCTTTGTTGGCGCCCTCCCCACTGGGCGGGGTTGTGCGGTTCGGACCTCATTCGTCCTGCGCATGCGCCATGGGAGTTTTTGTTATGGACAGTGTACACAAGTGCTGGTGTTCCGCGTCCTTTTTCTCTTGGGTGCTTCGCCTCTCTCGCTACTCTCGTCTCTCCAGTCCGTTCCCCGTAGATGCTTGGGGTGTTCTGGATTGCCGATATGGAGAGGACGCTGGGTTTTCCCTGTATATGGGTGTGGGGTGCCTCATTCTCCTCTACCCTACTCTTCTCCTGCAGGTGTGGCTCTGGCCTTCTTCCTCGGGTGGTGCTCCCGGAATCTTCTCGGCTACGTTGTGTTGTGACACGTTCATGTCTGTGTTGCTTGTTACACGGTGGGTCACGGCCCCGTTTTTCGTGGCTTTATCTGGGTCACTCATTCCTTGCCCTTCTTGCAGTGCCTGGCTTAGCCCTTCCATATACATTGGTTTCTCTGTGCTCGCCTAGTTGTCTTTACCTGGCTGGGCTTGCGGGGGTTGAGCTCTGGCTCTTTGGTCCCGCCTCTCGGCTGTCAATCGCCTGACATAGACATAGCCTCTGTGTTGTTGGTCCTGTCCCTTTCGTTCCCGTTGCTACCTGTCTTTCTCATTCCTCATCTTCCATCTACGCTCGTGTCCCTCGCTGCTGGTGCTGGGGCGGTTTTTCTAGTCCATATGACTTGTTATCCTGTATCCGCTTCAGGTCGATTGACCTGTGAGGTAATAAGTGAGGGGTAGTTGGATTGTTTTGCATGTCGGTTACTCATCAGGGCTTGACGTCTGCGAGAAGCCCTATACGAGTTAGTGAGCACAACACAAACAAGTGTAAACTAAGTGTCAGGGGATGTAATAGTTCTATTGTTACCTTGCCCCTTTCGTTACACATTGTTGTGTGGTTTAGTATGTGCTTCTTGGCTCTCCTACTGCTGCCTTGCGGTTACCTTGCAGTGTTTCCGGGGCTTAGCATCCCCGCGGCCCGGTCATCGACTAGGCTTCGTCGTTGCTGGACTGGTCGCCCAGGCTGTTTGACGAGGCTGCGCACAGCCAGACATATTACTTACAGCCTGGTTGATCAGGTATCCTATGGAGGTGCTGCTCCAGTTCTCTCTTGGTCACTTTGGCCTGTTTTGCCCCTTATGTGTAGTGGAGGCGTGTTGAACAGTCTCGGGCCTCTGATGTTGCTGGGGTTCTCTCTAGAGTAGAGAGGCTAGGTTAGACTTTGTCCATGTTCAGTTCCCTGCTTTTGCATCGCCCCTATGTTTGGTTCTCTCCCGGCTTGCTAGGTTTGGTTTCCTGGCTTCCTGGCTTACCCTGCCAGTTGGCATTTTCTGGTTCTCGCGGTGTCACTTCTCACGAGTCTCACATCGGAACCCCAGTGTCTCCGATCTCCTGGCGAGCACGCTAGCATTGGGAAGTTTTCTGTATGGCAGACGTTCCTTCTCATTCCTTGCCGGTATGGGTTCCGGCACTGCTTGCTCGGTGGTCACACCTGAGGTTTTTCCATGGCTCCACCTCTTCCTATGTTCGATCGGGCCATGGCAGGGCTGGTTCGGTTCTGCCTCAAGTATCTCACCATCTATTGGTGGTCAGGTGGCTTCGTTGATGGTGTCCTACCTTCATGCTTCGTCTTGGCGATGGTGTGGGGCTTTCTTTGGCGGTCCTTTGTTTTTCTTTCTGTCCCTTCTTCGGTTTGCTATGTTTTCTTGGCTTGGTCTGGTCCTTCTCTTGTGGAGGTTTAGGGCCGTCATCTTGCCACATACAGTCGCCTTGTCTCATGCGGCACTGGCGGAGCCACTCCGTGTTGCTTCGGTTTTGTAAGTTGCCTCGGCACCGCTTTGCGAGCCATCTCTGGCGTGGTTCACCTCCGGCCTGCTCTTGCGCTGCTTGAGCCGTCCTGATTCTTGGATGCGTGCTCTTTTCTCTTCTCCTCGGTTTGTGGTGGCCCCTTCAGTTCCAAATTGTTTTCCAAGGCTCTTTTCTTGTTGGTGTTGGCCTCTGGGGGTTGGGTTGGGGTGCTTCATGCCCTCCTTAGGTCCCTAGGTTTCAGCTCTTTTGGTTCTCCTGTTAGGTTTGTTTGCTTGCAGCCATCTCCTTTTCTGGCGAAGACTGGCATGGTTGCTTTCTGGAGGGGGTCCTTGGGTTGTTTGGTACTTGGTTGGTCTGGCCGGGGGTGCATCATCTGTTGTGTTCGGTTGCGGCACTGGGCCATACTTGGCGTACCACGCATGCCGTGACCGGGGACACGCTTTGGGTTGTTCCGAGTTTCCCTCTTCCCTGTTCCAGGGTGTTGTTCTCTCGGGTCATCCGCGAGGTGGTTTGGTTCTGCCAGCCTGCTGTCTGTCCCCATGCCCATGGCATTCGTTGGTTGGCTCTGCATTCCTTCGTTGATGTTCTTGGGCCTTGTCCAGCCTGTGTGACCTTGGGTTGCAGTTGCAGTTTTTGTCTCTGCTTTGTGTTGGGGGTGTGCGTCTTCTGCCTCCCGGGTTAGGTCCCTCTTGTTTTCATCTTTGGGTAGGTAAAACCAGCGTTGATTGTAATGAAATGCCATTTTCTGGGTGAGACCCGGAGGCTCCCCGGCAACCCTCCCTCCCCTGATCGGCGGTTTTTCGGGTGATTTTAGGTCCAGCCTCAGAACTGAGAGGTGGATTGCCGACGCGGAGGTCTGGGGCTTTCCCTTCCCCCTACTGGGGAGAGGAGAGCTGTGCAGACAGCGGCATGGCGACGTGTGACATCATACTCGTTTGCCCATTTCTGTTTGGGGAGTTCTATCCACTTGTTCGGATTTTGTCGCAGTTTTCACCAGAATAGGGTTTTTTTTGGGATGCTTGCCTTTCTGGGTGCCTGACCTGGTCGATGGCAGACATAGAATGCTTCCAACCACACGGGGTTTCTATAGGCCATTGCTCCTCTAGCCTCTTCTGAGGGGGCTAGGTTCTGGTCCCCGGTAGGCCCACAGAACTCCATACACATGACTGATGCCAAAGTCTGACATTAGCATAGCCTGGGAGCTATCCAGGCTCCCCGGAGTCTGGATAGCTTCGGGGAGCCTCCGGGTCTCACCCAGAAATTGGTGTTTCATTACATTCAACCCTGGTTTTTTGCCAATGTATATATGGTGGGTGCGGAGAGGTGAACCTTGGGTTATGAGAAGCGCTGCCAGCTGATGGTGTTAATGCCAGTTGTTATTGTTATATAGGGTTCCTAATGGTGGATATGAGTGATGTCACTGGGGGTGCTTGAGGATTTTTTGTTTGAAAACTGAATTTTCTGCATTGGTTATGTTAGCTAGATTGATTGTCTCTCATGACTTCTAAACTGGGCAGCTGCCGATTCCTTGATTGTCGTCACCTCTCAACCAACAACAACAGACTTCTAAACACCTTGCTTGACTCTGTAAGGATGCACTAGTCCCTGTGGTGACGGTGCCTTTATGTTATTTGGTTTGACTGCAGTGTGGGTGGGTGTTACAGTGCAAAGGGTAATTCCTTTAAGACAAGAATTCTTAAGAATGTTCAGAAAGAAGTTTTCATAAGCTCAACTCTCATGTTTTTTCTAATTTAGGTTATTAATTTGTGTTCTAATTTCTCAATAAACAGAAATGAAAATCTTTAGTTATATTTATATTTGTACAATGTCTAATTTGCCATTTATTCCTCATTTATTCCACATAACAGCAGAAAATGTGGCAACAACTTTGACACAACAAATGGTGCGGTGAGAGACTTGTATGCCTGGACACAAACAGTTGAAGATGTGGAAGTGAGAGTCACAGTGCCAGATAATATAATGAGAGGGAAGCAGGTATGCAATCATTTTCTTAGTGAATGTTTATATCACTGTATTGATCATTTTGTAAAGGGGAACATATTAATCATTGTCAAAGTGAGTGTTTTGATTATTGTCAACATTATTTTTTGGGGTATGCATTCCCTAGGATAATAAACTGCATACCTAATCATTTTATCTGTTAATTAAGAATGTTTTGACAGGTTAGAGTGGTTCTTCAAACCTCGTCAGTTGAAGTGGGAGTGCAGGAGCCAGATATGGAGTGGCATACGGGGAGCCCCTATGGCTTCCCGGAGCTACCTAGGCTGATATGCATATTCCTAACTTTGGCATCGGTCGATGTGGGTGGAGTTCTAGGCCTACCAGGGACCACGACCAGAACCTGGCCCCCTTAGAGAGGCACGAGGAGCAATGGCCTACAGAAATGCACATGTGATTTTGGAGCATTCTATATCTGTCATCGACCAGGACAGGCACCCAGAAAGGTAAGCGCCTCAAAACAAACCCTATTCTGGTGAAACCAACGAAAATAGCCAAACGATTGGATAGAACTCCCCCAAATAAAAACAAGCAAACGAGCATGACATCACACGAGCCGTGCCGCATGTCTGCGCAGCTCCCCCTCCCCGGGAGAGGGAACGGGGAGCCCCAGACCCCCTCGCCAGCGATCCACACCACAGTTCTTCGGTTGATGGGATTTGGCTTGGTTGTTGTGGCTCCAGCTCCGGACTTTTGTTGTGCTGTCCTCTGTTCAGTACTCATCTTACGGTGGTGTGCGAGCTGGGAATAATATTCACAGGTACTCGGGCTGCAAGTGCTTAGGGTCACCTTCCCTGAGTGCCCTGTAAGTACCGCCCTAGAGGCTTGGGGGGTTGCCTTCCACAAGTCACCTTGGGTCTGCCTCTGTTGGTCTTTTGCTGCTTGGCAATTGACCGCCCCAAGTGTTTTGGGGGGTTTCCTCCCTAGTTTGCCTTGGGGTAAGTGGTAGTTATTGCACTGGTAGGGGCGCAGGGTACTGCATAGCTAGTTTTCACCTATAACAGCGGCCGGCTCTGTTCCCTCTGGGTACGCTGTCCTCTTGCGAGGTTTTTTTTTTTTTTCTGCCTGGTGGAGGGGTCTGCCTTGGTGTTTCTTCCCCCTTTATACTAGGGATGTTTGTTTGGTGGTTCCCCCCCCCCCCCAGCTTCTCCCTCGTGAGTGGACACGTCCCGGGGTTTCAGCATTAGCAGTGTTGATTGGTAGCTTGGGTGCCGGTTAGCAGTACCCTGCCTGGGATAATCCTTAGCAGACCCAGTCAAGGGGCCCTGGGAAACACCGCGGGGGTGCTCGGGTCCAATGGATGTGACCCCCGAGTCCGCTCTCTTTTTTGCAAGTTTGAGAGTTGCTCTGTCCCCTTATCTCAGGGCGACGCTCATTGTTTTTGCCTCCGTCAGCTGCCTGTTGGGTCGGTGACACATTTGACCCGTTGTCCTGCAAGCTTTGTTGCTTGTTTGTGACTCGGTTCACCCAATTTGATGATGACATTATTTGGGTGCAGGCAGCTCGTGCGTTGCAAGATAGGTTTAGGTTGGTTGCTTCCCCGGATGCCCTGAGGCTGCTCCATTTTGTTTATAGGGACCCAGACTTGGGTCCGTCCGCACGCCCCCTCATTCTTTCCCTGTTGTGGTTCATTCGCCCCCCCCCCCCCTCTCTGCTTTCGGCTCCTAAGTGTCTGAGGGCTTTGGGTTTGGGGCAGGGTTTAGAGGTTTCTGAGACTCGGGTAGTTTCGGAGGTTGCCCCTTCTGGGGTGGCTGCAGAGGCATTCGAGTCGGTTCCTCCAGCCGTAGGTCTGGAGGAACCTCCGTGGTCTGGCCAGTGAGCCCATCCTCTTGCCTGCTATTCCGGCCGCCCCGGCTTTTTCTTGTGAAGCCGGGTGTTTTGGGGACGACTCGCTCCCGGGGCCTGACGTGAAGGTTCCCGGGGTTGGGGAGGAGCTGACTTGGGGCCCTTGGGCCCCGTTGAACCCTGCCTGGGTTTTCCGACCCTCCGAGCGGGGCTTGCTGTTACAAGTGGGGTTTTCCTTTTTCCCCCTCTGTGTACGAATTGGGTTTAGGTTCGGCTCCTCCCCGAGTTCGGTTTCGTGTCCCTGCGGGTCCTTCGGTTCCGTCCTTCCGGAGATTTTTGGCGTCCCGCATCTCCGGCTGAGGTGCGGGCAGCCATTATGACTTATCTCCTGCACGACCCGGTGTATGCCTCTTTATTGGATTCGTCTTCCTTCAGGCGTGGGGTCTTCGTCTCCATACTGGGTTTGTTGTGAGGTTCCGGAGTTGTCCTGGCTTGCGGACCGCCCTATGTTTTCGGTGGATGCTTGGGACACCTTCTGTTATATCCGCACTCTGGAGTGGCATGAGGCGTTGACTGTGGTCCAGGTTTACCTGGGAGGGGGGGGGCAATTTTGCACACCTTAATGAGTACCTTTTCGCTGCTGCTCTTTAGCGGGATGTTGGCACGGTTCAGCTTAATGTGCAGGTTCCCTCCCTGTCAGCTGTGCTTGTGGCTGAGGAGCACGGGGCTCATTGGCTTCGGTCCTGCATTTCTTTAACCTCCTTGAGCTGTCTTCCGATTGGCTTACAGAGGATGTAGACTCTAAGTGCCTCTACATTGTAGAGGCACTTGAAGCGGTTCCTGGGTCTAGCGCCTTGGCTTCCGCTGCTCAAGCGTTGTCTGCGCTGTTGAAGCAGTTTGCGCCGATCCTGTGGGATGCACTGTTGCAGTTTTTCGCCGCGCGCCTTGCATGTCAGCAGGTGGTACTCGCTTCCTCCTTGGAATCTGCTTGGGCCCTGACTCTTAGATTGTCTTCACCCTTTTATCCTTTATTATTTACGGCTTCCGCGGTTGAACAATATATGCTAGCAGCTTCCTCCAGCTGCCACCCTATGTCTGACTTGTTGGTTTTCCTGGAGTCCTGGAGGGGTCGTGCCATGGCCCACGGTCTGCTCATCGAGGTGGGCCACAGGGGCCAATTTCGGGGCCGATGCCGCCTTCGGTCCCGACTGCGCCTGGTCAGCGCGGTGCTCGCTCAGTGCGCAGATCAGGTTTTTGTACGGGGCGTCGGCCCTTTCGCAGTTCGTCCTATTGACGGGGCGATGAGGGGGGAGGCTTGCTCTGTTCACTCACGCCTGGTTCCACGATTTGTGGGCTTTTCGGGTCGGGCAGACTTCTTCTCCTGTGCTCTGTCAGGTTGTCGTGGAGTGGGTGCGCTTGGGCATGGTCGAAACAACGATATCCCACAGGTGGGTTTCCCGCCTGTTTCCAGTTCCGAAACGGGACTGTGAGGACCTGCGGTTCATTCTGGACTTGTCCCATCTGAACCCCTGGATATTTTACCCCGTCTTTCGGATGATCACTCTGTCCAAGGTCCGGCTTCTGTTGGGTGCTTGGATGGTGTCCCTGGACCTTAAGGACACATATTGGCACATTCCTATTCATCCGGGGCTCGGGGACTGGCTCGGTTTTGTTTTGGGGCGTCAGAGCTACGGCTTTCATTGTCTTCCTTTCGGGTTGAACCTGGCACCTCGCGTGTTCACACGCCTCACCCGGGTCATGGTGGCCCGTCTGCATCTGTCAGGTGTTCGGGGTGTTGGCTTACCTCGACGACTGGCAGGTTTGGGCTCCCAGTCGGTTCGCATGTCTGCTCGCCAGTGTTTTGGTACTTTCCGAGCTAGCCGGGTTCGGGTTCGTGGTGAACTGGCGGAAGTCCCATCTGGTTCCCTCCCATGATCGGACCTGGCTGGGTCTTGTGTGGCACTCTCGAACTGCTTCCTTCTCTCTTCCTCCGGAGTCTCCTTCGGTTGCAGTCCTGCATGCGCTTGTTTCTGGGGGTTACCCAGCGGTTGCTTGAGGGTCTGTGTGGGAGCCTGAACTTTGCGATGATGGTCTACTCACTGGGTCTGGTTTGACTTTGTCAGCTGTTCTGGTTCCTTCAGGATGTCCCTTCCGTCTCTCTCGATCGCTAGGTTCGACCCCAGGGGGCCTTGCATTGGCTGCTGCGTCGCCTGCTTCCTCTTCGGGTTTTTGGATGTTCAATGCCTTGGCGCCTACCCGAGCCCTCGCTCAATGTGTTCACCAGTGCTCACCAGGCCGGCCAGAGGCGGTGTGGTCTGTTCTTCCGTCGAGCCCACAGCACGGTGAGGGAGATCGCGGCCGTGTGGTTTGCACTTCGGAGGGTTCGGGTTGTCCGCGGATCAACGATCCGGCTACATACAGACTGCTCCCCAGTGGTTCATTGTCTGAACCGAGGGGGTTCGATGCGATCCTTGGCTCTTTTGTGGCTGGTCGCTTCGGGTGACTCATCTGCTGAGTTCTTGGGATTTGGCTCTCCTGGTGGTTCACGTTCAGGGGGGTGTCCAATGCCCTGGCGGACAGCCTGTCCCAGTTCATTTCCCTGTCCACGGAATGGTCGGTCGATGCCAACTCTTTCAGTTGGCTCTGCCAGACGTTCAGGTGCCCGGAGGTGGACCTCCACCATCTTCCGGTATATGTGGCGCCCTTCCCCAACCGCAAAGCCGTCGGGATTGATGGGGACTGGTCGATATGGGGGGGTTCCTGTACCTCTTCCCACCGGTTCAGCTGTTGCTCCAGGTCCTGGCTCGCTTGGAGACTTATCAGGGGCGAGTGGTCCTCTTGGCCCGTGATGACCGGCCCAGCCGTGGTTTCAGGCACTGCTTGCTCGGTGTCCAAACCCAGAGGTTTTTGCGCAGCTCCGCCTCTTTCAGAAGATCGTCCTGGTCCGTTATGAGACTGGTTCACTCTTCTCCTCGAGTCTTTGTCTGGTATTTTGATTCAAGTTTATCACCATTTGTATGGTGATCAGGTGGCTTCTTTGATGGTGTTCCACCTGTGGGCTTCGTCTCGGTGGCAGTTTGAACTTTCCTGGCGGTCCTTCCATTTCTTTTTGACTCTTCGTCGTTGTACTTCGCTTTCGGTTCAGGTGGTGTTGTCCTTTTTCTCATGGTTGTTCCAGGACCATCATCTTA